GTGTATATGTAAAGATGAATATTTAATTCTCACGGTTCACGTTTAACTGTCAAAATAATGCGAGATATGCTGAACTGTGGTAGAACTTCTCCTTACTGTTCTGTTTGTACCCAGCAATGGCCAATCATGTGCCTGCCCGACTTTCCTATAAAAAGTAAAGTTTGGCATGCTTTCAAGTAATGTTTAGTATCCCTTATAAAAGACTGACCATTATGTGAACTATATTAAACTGTAAGACTTTTAAATGACTGTTTAGTTTAACTGTGGATGGTTTTTGAATTTTGAGTTCTGTGGATTGTGTTTAAACAATTCAAGAGTATATTCCCTGATTCTGAAATACTGAGTGGTATTGCACAGTTGTCACCTTATTGAATGTGTCCAACAGTTCTATGAAGTTTGGTTATTAAGCATACCTTTGTATAACTTGAGGTGCTAGAATTAAAGATGATCTAACCATTATCAAGAGGTAAGCACATTGCACCTTTGTTTCTTTTAAAAACTGAATCTCTCCTTCGGTTGAAGGGTTAACAATAGCTGGAAGGGGGATAGGACAATACAGGCAAACTTTTAAATATTTTCAGCCTGAAATTTGGCCTATAACGTGAATGGACTTCAAGGATCTAAGTAGAAATGGCTTCCTGATTCAACTGACGCTGTGACCAGAGGCTGACTCCAGAGGACTACAGAATGATAGTTCACAAAATAGATCACTCAAAATAAACTTCTTGTACTTGGCTATGTTTTGGCATATGCTAATTGTTGATTGCTCTGCCAATAAAAAAAAATTCTATAATTCTGCTCTGGTAATAGAATCTTGAAGACAACTAGGTTTTGTGTAACAAGCCAGGTTAATACTAGGAGTGACGCTAGGAAACGTTTATAGTAGAGGAAATTAAGTTGCAGTAGGAAGCTTAAGTTGGCTCACTGACTCTGCATGCACACCATGGTTATTTTTCTGAGAAATGACTTAACGTATTTTACATGATGTCTGTAAAACATTATCAGTGGGCACTCAGTCATTATTTGAGTAACATTTAGAAAATTTGAAATAAAAACTCTGTGGAATGTTTGGCAGATGTATTACATTCTCCAAGTCTAAGAAATGATGGCCTTTAGCAAAGACTGTGGGTTTTTATTTCTCAGATGTGTAAAGCACTTGGGATTAGGGGAAGGCATTAAATGTAAGGTATTGCATTATGTTCATAAGCAGGCCTGCTGACAGAAATTCCGGGCCCCAGGGCCAGGGCTGTCCATAGGGGGGGCAGGGCCCAGGGCGGAAGTGAAAAATTAGTCACAGGACCGCGGGGGCCCCCCAAAGCATGGGGCCCAGAGTGGTCTTGTGCACCTAGTTGCCCTGCGGCCTGCCTGGGCAATTTAAAAGAGACTGGGGCTCCCTGGCCACTGCTGCTACCATGGCCGTGGTGGCAGCCAGGGTCCCCTGGGCCCTTTTAAATCACCTGGGCCCCTGGGCAATTGTGCCTCCCTCCCCAACGGCAGTCCTGTTTATAAGATTCAAATTAAGTTCTCTGGAAACTTTCAACTTAGTGTGACTAAGTAGCCAGACTTGTGCACAATTTTTAAAAAGTTAAAGCTGCATGATTCTTCTTTTTTTAATCACTTTTTTGAGATGTGAGGTCTTCACTATTTGATAAATTAACCTCTAAAGTAAAGAGAAGATGCTCTTTCAGATCGGGCTGTTTTTAGCATGCCTGTCAAAGAGAGAGAGAGCATAAGAACTCTATACTATTTCTTCCACACACACAGAGCCTTCTTTTTTTGCCACTGTTGAATGGAGCCTGGTAACTTGTTGAGTCTGTTACAGCATAGTAGTTATGTTTCAACTCAGCTGTAATAAGGTGAACACTGCTGGGGCTCCCAGAATCTTCTATGGCGGCACACTCTGTACCACAGTACCTAGACCAACATTCAAGCTTCAGAATGTAAACCATCCACTACCTACAGGGAGGAGGATGGGGAAGTGAAATCTTCCTATATGCATGTTACTGCATAATTTAGTATTGAGAAGGGTTCACATATTCCACTGAAGGAGCCAGGATGTAGGACTTCTGTACTTCATCTAACAGTTTAATTCATAATGGCAGTTTCTGTCCTCTTGTTCGCAAGCACAGTGCCCAACGAGCCTTTATCTGTTCATACAAGTAATGCAGTGGCAGAGAAATGGAGCAGCTTTTGTGCTGCTGTTCAGCAAGAAAAGCAAGTTGGTTACCTGGGGCCAAAGAGGTATGGAATCCCTGCTCGTGTTGTGTAGACTTACCATAGGGCAGAAGGGACTCTGCTTTAAATACACCAGTGACTGGTTCATCATCTTGCACTATCTATTTCATAATCCCCGGTGTGATACCAAGAGTTCAAATGTAAATGATTTTCAAATAGAAAGTAATTGTCTTATAAAGTGATGCATAAAGTATATAAAAAAGTCGACTGCCAGTGATCAAATTATCCAGGAATAAGTGGCCACCTCCTGGGCTTCTCTCTAGAATTCAATGTAGTTGATAATGGAATAATGCTACACTTCCCAACCTAGGGGATGGTGGGCTCAAGGAAAGGCTTTCTAAAATGGTTTGAACCCTTCCTTGTGGTTGACTTCACGAATTCAAATGTCATTAATATACAGGTATGTCATTCACAGCTGATAACCACTGTTGCCCACTTTTTCTAGCATTTGGCTGAGATCAGGACATAAATGAGGTAGAGCGTCCTGAAATTAAACTCCAGCAAGGCAGAAGTGGACAGAGGGAAACACTTCAAAAAGTTGGCTTTTTCTATCTCGGTCCCCTCTATTCCAGGAGACATACTCACAGATTATCAAGCCAGTCCACGATTTGGGAGTTTTGCTGGGCATCTGAACAATTTTATTCTTTCTCCATCCTTGTTAAACTCAAGGTCTGGTTTCTTCTTTTCAAAGCACTGAATGGCCTGTCCTTAGGATACTGCCTCTCCCTTTGGGAGCTCAACCTCTGTGAAGTCATTGCTTTTCTAGAACACTGGAATGCTGGAGCAATGGGAAGCATTGTGGAATTTTTACCACAAGGGCAAAGCTTGTCTGCATAGGGAGTGGTGCTTTCTCTGAGGCGTGCCTGAAACTGTGGAGCGTTGCTCTCCCACAGGAACTCATACATACCCCAAACCTCAGTGTGCTGTGGTCCGAATGTGAAATGCACTTTTTACCTTGCCTTGCTTAAGAACTACAGACACCAGTTTTTGTGCTAATAATAATCTACAGGTGTGGTGTTTTTTTTTCCTCAGGGGTAGGGGGCGCATGGTGAAGAAACCCTGTCTGAGAAATGTTGGCCACCTTCTTTAACTCGATTCTGCAAGGTGCTCATATTATAGTATGGGGCATGATATGAAAATTTAAGTAGAACCAACTGTTATGGATTTCTGTGAACTTGCCCACACAGGAGGGAGTTGCTGTGGTGGTTTGTATTTTTTAGATCTTCCTTAAGGACTATATCCCCCACAGTGTGTTGGCAGCTGGCTGTGCTCTGGATCCTAGCTCTGCAGCAAGCTAACCTTTCTGCTCTAAAAATAACACACTGTGATGAGGCGTTGCAGAGCTGTGCAAAGGAATGGAATGGATGTTCTTTCCTCTGCCTTTTCAATCTATCACTCTTGCCCCCTAAGAACAGAGCTGTACTAAGACCCTGCATGGAGCCTTGGTGGACTAGCTGTAGCCTAGATTAAGGTGTCAATTTAAAGGATAGGCCAAAAATAAATCTGTGACTGAGGAATTTTGTCAGGCTACTCCTTTCCTTGCTTGCCATTTTAACTGGGGTGGTTCCTTTTGGACTAATGGTTCTTGCTTCTGCCTTCCTATGCTTCAGAATACTGGTTCTGCTATTCAAGGAGATTCAGTCCTTGCAGCTTGACCTTTGCTTAAGTTTCCCCTGGTTTCATTGCCAGTCTCCCAAGACAATGAGAGGGGCACCCTAAGCAACTACGTAAGTGCACCCCTCCGACTATCCTCTTGAGATTAGTTGCCATAAAATGCCTGTCAGCAGCATTAAATGGCGGATATGCTGCAGGAGGTAGTATGCACCTATGAACTGCTGCATAGCTTCCCTGGGTTAGATGGACTGATTTAGTCTGGATTGGATCTAAAACATACCCACTTTAATGATTAGTCTTCTGCCATCATTTTTCCACGTGGCTGCTTTCGAAGATTTATAAAGCTTTAGTCACAATTTACTATAACAAGATTCCTTCTCCCTTATGTGGAGCAATTAAAGCTTTTTAGAAATCCTGGTTTGTTTCCATGTTGAAATAAGCACATGAGGTAAACTACTGTCCGTAAAAGAGCTCTACTGCAGCAGTTGTCTGCATTTCTTACTGCTCTTTAGCAGGAATGTTGGTTGAAAAGATTCAGAAACCTGCCTTATATTCAACCTAGCCTTTACCTTAACAGGGGGAAGGTTGTTTCCCCTCCTCCCCTACTCCCGTGCCACGTTTATTTCTATTCACTGTTGGTTAAGGGACACGGAAAAGCTACAATGTCTCACAGGGATGTCCGCTGCCAGGCACTCCCTCCCAGCTGGTCAAACCAGAGGCTGCCTGGTGCAAAGGCAGCCTTTCCTCCTCTCTTCTCCCCAGCCCAAGTGACCGCCTTATTGCAGCACTGCAGAGGAAGATGGGTGGGAGGGAGGGAGAGACCTGCTGTGGACTCTGATTGGTCTACCAGGCACATGGGCACAGCCAGCCAGACCCACCCACAAGCCTACCCTGAGTTTTGCCCACTTAAGAGAGAGGGAGGGCAGGCAAGAGGTGGAGACTAATAAAACCCTGTTTCTGGAAAAAGGTGCTCTGCCGATCAGAATCCAGCAGGGTGACAGCAGTTAGCAAGACTAACAATTATGGTGAATGGGGGGAGAGGAGTCATGGGTGAGGGGGCAAGGGGTGAGCTTCCTTATAGTTTCTTTATTTCTCCTTCTTTCACCTCCATGATGGTTTTCCCTTTTGGGCTCTATGGATCGGTTCAGTGTTTTGCGTTGATGTCCAGGAATTCAGGCGTAAGGGAGGCGCTGCCAACGAGGAAGCAGTCTGTTACGCTGGGAGGCCAGTTCCTTGCAGGTACCACCAGTGACTGAACCTCCATAGATGAACCGAGTGACAGTTTTAGACCCATGACTTTGTAGCCATCCCCTCAGCTTCTCATGACCCTCTGGAGCCTGCTGGGGAGTTGCAGTTTTACCAGTTCCAATAGCCCAAACTGGCTCATAGGCAAGAACCACCTTGCTCCAGTCCTTCATGTTATCGGCAAACATGTCTGTTTTGGTCTGTTCAAAAACCACCTTCTCTGTGATGCCAGCTTCTCTCTCATCCAGTTTCTCTCCAATGCAGGTGATGACACCAAGATCTTCAGCCAGGGCATGGGCCACCTTCTGCCCAATCAGCTCATCAGACTCCCCAAAAACATGTCTTCGCTCTGAGTGGCCCAGGATCACCCAGGTGGCTCCTATGTCCTTTATCATTGGGCTGATCTCTCCTGTGAAAGCTCCCTTTGGCACCTTATAACAGTTTTGTGCTGCAACCACAATCTTTGCATCAAGCTTCTGAAGGGTCTAAGAGGCAATTTGATCAGTCTAAGTACCTAGATGGAGAAAATTTCTCATAGTAAAAGGCTCTTTACTTTAGCAGACAAAAGCATAACCAGATCCAATAGCTGGAAGCTGAAGTTAGACAAATTCAGACTAGAAACTGGGTTCTACCTTAACCAGAAGGTATGGGCTTAATGTGGGGATTTCTGGTTAGTTCTATGATTTGTGCTAGGTTGGAACAGGGATCATAATTGTCCCTTCTGGTGTTAAAATCATGAGCTTTAGTATGACCTTTCATTTCATTTCATTTAGTATGACCAAGCTTTAGTATGACCTTTCATTAGGGCTCCTGCAGTGAGAATAACTAGCCAGTAGATCCTCCTGCCCCCGCCTCCCAATATTTTCAGATCAGCCAATTTTTGAAATGTGATAGACTCCAAGCAGGAACATGCTTGGGGAGCGGGTAGGTGTGAAGTGAATTCAGAAAAGGGAAGAGTTCGCAGTAATTGGGGGGAAAAACTGGAAGAGATAATAAAGGGGAAAAAAGTGAGAGGAAGGAGCAGCAGGATGGAGGGGAAATCAGGACCCATTCCTATTCCCAATATGAGTGACAGTGAGGCCTAGTCAGATTGGGGAAATGGAGGAGGGCGTGGCTGTTTTAGATGGAGAAAGGGAGAAACTAAACTAAAACTGAACGGGCAGCCATGGAATAGGAGCCGTGGAGTAAATTAAGGAAAGAGGAAGAACATAAAGTTTGGGAGGAACAGTAAGCAAACACAACATTTCTATTGCATAGAAAGTCTGGTGCCAGAACGTTATGATAAAATACTTTAGTGTTTGATTCAGATCTCATGGATGCAGTTGTTTGCTACTCCACAGACAGGCCTGCCCAATATGTGCAGAAGTCTCGAGGTCTTGCATATAGAGGAGAGGATGCAGCTATTCCCTTCAATATTCCATGTCAGAGAGTTCACTGCAGAACTAAATGAATCTCTCCCTTTGTTAGGGGAAGGGAGCATGTTACCAGCCAGATACCTCAAAGGTGAGGGGCTAATTCCAAGCCTTAGATCATCTGGGAAGTAGGTATCTAGTAATTTTATCACCATTGATAATTGTACTAAGTACTTTCCCTCAAAGCACTTTACAAACAACTTACCTAATTCTCAAAACACCTCCGGAGAAGATGATAATTTCAGATGAAGAAATTTAAAGCAGAGATCTTAATTTACCCAACACTTCAAAGTAAGTCAGTGGCAGAGCCACGATAGAATGGGAATTTCTCCTAATCTTTTTGCATAGCTCTCCACGGGAACAAGAGAAGAAGCTTTTATCTTGCTAAAATGCAGTTACTGTCTATAAATAGAAAAATGGTCTGGTACAAAAACACTAACTTTGAATACATACACTACACGGAAGTGCTCAAAATAGATTTACTTGTTTCAATGCTGTTAAATTTTCTTGTAATACTTTTAGCAGGACGATTCCTTTATCAGACCGACTTAGTCTTGTGATTTTCACTTAAACAATGCATGAGAACTGATTTAATTCATGTCCTAATAGTAGGTATTGTATTGCAATATCCTGAAATACTGAATATGCTTGTGACTGTTATATTGACAACCACTGGATGTCACTATTGCTAGGCATACAAAGATGTTTAAAGCATCTCTGAAGTCATTTCTGTTTACTTTCTTTACCCTTTATCTTGAGACCCTTTTACAAAACTAAATATTTTCCTTTGGCTTCTTCCCCTTGTTTAGGCAAATATATGGAAAATTCACAAAGCAATCTAGCTGCTAATTATAGCCCTCGTCAAAGGGCAACTGTCAATAGCATTCTAAGCCATTTTGGGCTGTGATCCTGTCAGATGTCATAAACTAAGTAATAAGGCCCGGATGGGAAACCACAAGGGAAAATCCGACGTCTGTAAGAAGTCATGGTGGTAGTTTCAGCATGTGATATGCCTCTCTGCTTCTTAGAGTGTGATATTTGAGGGCATTTTGTTGCTAGACAAACTGGGAACTTAAAGGATTTTACTATTTGGGGGGGAGGAAGGGTCAGATTATCCATTTCACTTTTTTTCCAAAAGAGCAGATGAGTTAACTTCGGTGTCCCGAACAAATTTGACCTGGGATACTAGGTTTCAGCCCACCTAAGTGTACCCTGTAGTTTTAACTGGGTGAGTATTCTTCACTTCCGGTCTGAAACTGCCGTATGGAGGGTTTGGGTGTGCGTGCGCGCTGTTAAACAGCTGCTGTGCTGTGCCACGGGTGGGTGAAGTGATTTCTGTCTGTAGGGGCTGACCAATGGCCTTTTGTCAACTTCCATGGAAGTCTGTGGGGCTACTTTTGAGTTAAGTTTCAGAGTAGCGGCCGTGTTAGTCTGTATTCGCAAAAAGAAAAGGAGTACTTGTGGCACCTTAGAGACTAACCAATTTATCTGAGCATGAGCTTTCGTGAGCTACAGCTCACTTCATGCGATGCATTCAGTGAGTGCATCCGATGAAGTGAGCTGTAGCTCACGAAAGCTTATGCTCAAATTTGTTAGTCTCTAAGGTGGCACAAGTACTCCTTTTTTCTTTTTTTGAGTTAAGGTTTCTCGTTTGGACACGAAGGCCCCATTCCTCCAAACCCTTAGGCACTGGTGTAACTTCAACCATTTAGGTTGTCCGGTTGACTTCAACAGAACTACTCAAATGCTTAAAGTTACACACCTGCTTTAATGTTTTCAAGATCAAGTTAGTTTCTAAATCTAATTAAGTGATTTTTTTTTGGATCCTGCATAAAAGGTGCTACGTAAATGTAAGTTTTATCACTGATGTAAGAACAGCTGGAAATAGTGTTTGATAAACTGCTGCAGAAGCAGAACAACCTTTTGTATAAACAAGAACAGTTATATGGGAATTGGAAAGTACTGAACGTTGGAAAACAAAAGCAAAAAGGATTACGCCAGGGCTTAAAAATGATGTGCCTTAAAACAATAGGTCATGGAGAGAACAATTTTAACCCTCATATTGATGACTTCTGAATTCAGATGTGATCTTGAAGTTCCAAGTAAAGATTTATAATTCCAATTAGCACCTTATGGATATGAGATGTTTGAAATAAGTGCATTAGGAAAGAAGCTCCCAGGTTTGGATAGCTCTTTCACTAGCAAATTTGAATAACACTAACATTTGGAGTGATTAGCAAATGAAGTAGTGACAGTATAATACTGAGAAATTGAGACACTATAGCCAAATCTTTCAAAGGTTGCTGGTGAGAGATGTCTCAAGTTATGGGTGTTCAGCTTGGGGCTCCAAGAGCCTAATTTTTAGAGGTGCTAAGCTTGTATGACTCCAGTTAGTCTTGGGAATTGTGCATGCTCCACTCATATGAAAATCAGCAGCTTGATGTTTTAAGTTGGTCAAAAAATAAGGCACCCAATTGACAACTGTTTCTGAAAAAACATCTGAACTGTATTTCCAACAAGGGTTGTCACAAATGCCTCTGTCTAGCTATTTCAATGCAAACGTAAATCAGAGATTAACTGCATTATTTAACTGAAAACTAACTAGTTTTCTGTTAAATAATGTCTTTACAAGCTTATATGTTTCTTCCTTGAATAGCTAGGCTGATCAATAGGTGCTGTGATTTTAAGATTGCTCGACAAATTCTGAAGTTAGTCTTGGTGTGCATCTGTATTATTGGAGAAATCATTGAGATGGCAACATGGCATCCTTTTGTTCTCAAATGGTTCCATTTTTGCTTAAAGAATATAGCCTCTAACAATGACTTCTTCTGCCAAATGATTTATCTGACAGACTAATAGGTCTATTAAAAAAAAAATCCATGTGAACAGCAGTCATCTATGTGCCCCAGGATGCTCGATGGAAGCTTACAATCTACAATAAAAACTGCAAATTAAGATATGTTCTAAAAAGGTAACTGCTTTTATTTTTTTTTTTAAAGTGAAATACTTTCCCAGTTTCTTTTCAGGTTGCTAAATGTTTGGGAGGTTTCCCTGCAGTTTGCCAGAAGGCTTGTGGCATCCAAAGTGAATACTTTTATGGTGGTACATAAGAACTACTAGTAGTTTTATAAACACTAAAGACAGTCCCTATCCCAATGAATGTATAACCTAGCTCCGGTGCAATAGAAATGCCGATACAGTAGATGCCCATGTAAATCATCATTGAGAGATTAGCTAAGTTTTATTGAGGGGATTTGCACTCTTTTCACTTGATGTGATCATATTTGCCTCAGGGTCACAGATAATATTGTCCTAGTGGGGGGGAAAAGATCTCTGTTTTGTATTTACCACTGTTTGATGAAAGGATCCTATTTATTTTGAACAAGGAATAAAATTCAGTTCTCAACCAGTTTCTTAGAGTTTCTGCTCCTTAATGTAACTCTTGCTGCACTTGCTGCTACGTTTAAAACAAAAGTGAATGGCATGTGCTGCTAGTATTTGTCATAAGATCTTTTCAATGTTTTAAATTTTAAATTTAAAGAATTGCTCCTTTTTAAAATGCCAAACATGGTGTATCCTTAGCGCTTTCCTCCATTCCGATCTGCTTGCTTGCTTGCTCGCTCGCTCGCTCACTCAGAACTATACTATTCCCTTGCTCCTGAGGTTCACTTTTGCTATCTTTATTTACAAAGCTTTCAAATATCTTGGATTTGACAGCTCATCCCACTCTGAGAGAATGACCTACCAAAAGGAAATAATAGTGAAATAAAACCTTTCCAACCCTCAAACTACTCCATCCCCAAATCCAAGGGCAGGAGGAACTGTGGAGGGGAAATGAGTTTTGCAACACAGAGAATCTGAAGGACCAAGTCGGGAGTGACTTCCAAAGCTGGGGATTCCATGAGAACGATGTGCCAGTAGCTTTCTTGCCTTTTAAATGAAGGGGAGCTCCAGTGTGAGCACCTCCGATAATCTCATCTGCTCCAGTGTTGCCTATGGATAGAGTAGGTCACTTCAAGTACCCAGTCTCAAACCGTTTAGAGCTTCATAGGTTAAAACCAGCACCTTGAATTCTGCATGTCCTGGCTGCCAATGTGAATACCAGAGTGATGGTATAATGTGATCCTGGTGTGAAACTGCTTAATAGATGAGCATCTGTATGCTGCGTTTAGTTTCTAAATGATTGCAATGAGGGTATCCCCATGTCAAGTGCATTCCTGTAATCAAATGTTGAGGTGACGAGACAGGCATGAAGAATTGTGGCACTCAAAGTAACACTTCTTCCCAGATTTTTTTTTTCCAATTCTAGTCATCCAGAAGGAACCCAGGAACTAATGCACCTCAGTTGTGCACTTGTTTCACAAATAAGTCATGTTCATTCCATTGGAGTGCCGGAATAACTTTTACCAGCTCTTTTGACTGTTTTCCCTCAGTCCATCA